CTGCTGAACTGGAGAATGTTCAACAATTTCAGAGGGTGTTGGATGATGACCTGAAACTTCTTGCTGGACTGACAAAGGTTCCAACTGCTCAGGGGACACTGTAGACTGAGCTGAGGTTTATTGTTGGGGTGCAGTAGTTTCAACCTCCTTAGTGAACGCTGGAGTTACGATAAGTGCAAGATCCATAGGTATAACAGTGACATCGGGCTGCTGCAGAAGCTGTCCTTGATCCTGACATCAAGGAGAAACTGTTATCACATGATGCTCTGCAGAGAAAACTACAGTCACATTAGAGAGCTCTGGAGACTGAGTTGGAGAGGATTCAACCTCACCAGGAGACTCTGGATACTGAGCTGTGGCTTCCTGTTAAGGTGGAGAAGGTACAACGTCAGGAGCTTGTGGATGCTGATCTGGAATCTCCTGCTGGGTTATGGCAGGTATAACTTCTTCTCCAGGATGCTCTTTATACTGAGCTGGGGTCTCCTATTATACTGAAAATTTATTATGTATACCGGCTTCTTGAGGTTGGGCTGGAGCTTCCTGTTGAACTGACAAAGGTTCAACCTCCTCAGGTGGCTGTGAAGGCAACTTGGGGACCTCATGCTGTGTTGTAGAAAATTCTGCATTAATAAGAGGCACTGAGGGCTGAGCTGAAGGCTTGTGCTTATTTGGAGAAGGTCCCACCTCTGGAGTGGGTTCTTTTGTTATGGTAAGCTCCACGTCTGCAGGTTTGACAGCGACACTGGATAAATTTGGATGCTGAGCCTGAGGGTGACTTGGAGGTGAAACTGTCATTTCATGATGCTCTGGAGGTTGAGCTGGCTGTTCTTGTTGAGTTGGAGTAGGTTCCACCTCCCCTGAAGAAGGCTCTGGAGGCTGAGCTTGTTGCTCCTGCAGGGTTGCAGAAGGTTCTATCTCCGCTGGAGACAGAGCTGGGATCTACTGCTGGGCTGCCGAAGATTCTGCCCTATTAAGGGGCTCTCTGGTGACTGAGCTGAGGCTTCCTCCTGGGTTGCAGAAGTTTCAGCTTCTCCAAAAGCCTCTGAAAGCTGAGCTGGGGTGTCCTGCTGGGTTGCTGTTTGCAAGTCCTCAAGAGGCTCTGTAGGCTCAGAAGGCCGTAGGTTGTTCCCGTTCACTTGGAGAAGGCTCAGCTTCCACAAGATGCTCTGGAGGCTGACCTGTGGTCTACTGCTGGGTTGGAAAAGGTTCTGTCTCCTCAGGATGCTCAAGAGGTGGGGCCAGGGCCTCCTGCTGAGCTGCAGGAAATTCACCTTCTGTAGTGGACTCTGGTGTGTTGGTAAGTTCCAAATTCAGAGGTTGAAGTGTAACACTGAGCAAGTTTGAATGAATGTAACGTTGAACGCCAGGTAGACATGCTACCTCATCACTCACTGGAATTTGAAGTACATATATGTAGGGAACCCTGGAGCCTGAGCTGGGGCCTCTTGATGGAGCAGAGAAGGTTCAACCTCCTCAGGGTGCTCTGGAGGCTGAGATGGGGTCTCCTGTGGACTGGAGAATGTTCAACCTCCTCGGGGCACTCTAGAGGCTGAGATGGGGCTTCCTGTTGGACTGGAGAAGGTTAAACCTCTTTAGTGACCTGTGGAGTTATGGTAAGTGCAAGATCCAGAGGTTTAACAGTTACATTGTACAAGTTTGACTGCTGAGTTTCATTTACCCTATGATGTGCTACTGGTTGAACTACAACCTCCTTAAGTGTCTCCAAAGGCTGGGCTAGGGCCTCCTGAGGACTTGAAGTTTCTAGTACCTCAGGGACCTCTGAAGGCTGAGATGGAGCCTCCTGATGAAATGGAAGTGGTTCTACTTCTTCAGTGGGCTCTGGATGCTGAGCCTGTGCCTCTGCCTGTGGTGTAAAAGATTCAACCTCCTCAGGGGTCTGCGGATGCTGAGCAGGGACCTCCTGCTGGGTAAAGATTTAGCCTCCTCATTGAGCTCTGGATGATGAGCTTGGGCCTCCTGCTGGGATGGAGAAATTTCAGCTTCCTCAGGGGGCTCTGGAGGTACACCTGGGATCCCAAAACAATCCCTAGGTATGCTCTCCTCAAGATAAAAGGTATCCATACTGGGATCTAAATAATTACCCTGCAAATGTTGTTCTAGACCCTGAGTGTTTTTTTCAAATTGGCCTATAGTTCAAACAACTTTGGCAAGCCGTTTTTGCTCAACTAGATCTTTCTTCAGGTTTGGGGTAGAAAAAATAAACTTTATTGGTTTTGAGCTCTTACTACCTAGAGTTGGAACAAGTATTTCAAATGATTGGTGACCTCAGCCTGATCTAGACCTATGTGTTTAGTCTTACTTTTGTGTTGAGAAGGCAGAACCAAGGGCTGATTCTGATCCCAGTCTAGCACTGGACCCGGCTCTGGGAGCTTTTGACGTTGGGATTGCTAGTTATTCAGATCATGATGTGGAACAGCAAACTGATCTGTAGGCAGCTCTCCAACATAATCCGTGTCTGGGTATGGAACCTCAGTCTCAGTCAACTCCTGATGAGGTGGGGCCAACATCTGGACTGGAGACGAGGACATCAAGTAATTAAAGCCCCCAGCTTCTACCAGGGGTGTAAGGGTATGGGGCAATTTGGGAGGGGGGTCTGAGGCATTTGAAGACCAAGCCTCTGTCAGCCGCGGGGGGTTGGGTGTCACCTGCACGGGGTCCAGGGCCAACTCCGGAGGCTGAATTGCCTTGACCAGAAGCCACAGTCATTGCCATGTGAGGAGGAGACGTGGGGCGCAGATGCGACATAACATGCGGCGGCTCCCAGGCGCAGTGACCCAGGCCAGTGAAGAGCCGGAGCCACATCCTGCGTCCAAGCTGAACCACTATGCCAGCGCCGACGCGAGGGCTCACGTTAGCAACCACGCACGCCTCCCCCGCCTAACGTCCCACCCATTATTTATGACATCTTTAGTTACACCACCGTTATTAGGTTTGTGCAGAGATCCAATCCACGCCACCAGAGTGGGTCTTTTTCCCAGAGTCCCCAGGGAGCAAGCCATCCTTCCCCTTACAAAGGAGACAATTACCTCCTGCCGGGCCCACTTCTGAACCCCTCCCTGCCCTCCCTGACCCCAAACAGTGATGCGGGATTTGGGCTGCAGACCCGAGTGGCCCCAAACTCCAGCAACCCAGGGGTGGAGGGGTGTTGGGAAGGATGCAGAGCTTCCCGAGGAAACCACAGGACATGGCATTCTGGGAAATTCAAAAGTGCTAGTCCAGTTCTGGCAATCTGAACTCTTCCTCCTCAAAGCTGAAGTCTGAGAGACATTCTTCCTCCCTTTGGCCACACGGCTGACAAGAAAAGTAGCTGACCTGCAAAATGAGCACCAGTTATGGTGGCGGGAGGGGAACACACCTTACAATTGTTCTAAAATGTTGCCATTTCCTCCAAGCTGTCAGTATTCACGTCTCATTATTCATTCACCACTCTGTTATTAGGGGTTACCACTGAATCCGTGATGACTCCACAACTTCCGTAGGAGGGGTTTGGGGCAGGTGAGCAATTTATTCTGGGAAAGAGAGTCTAAAACCAAGTGAATGACCCTTTATATTAGCATGGGAAAACTTCCCCCATCCCACCTTGTCTCAACAGAGCCATTAAACTAGAAAAAACTACAGTGTCACTTTTCAGAGGTCTACCCTGTGTGCACACATGGAGAAGACACTTAGAATGTTAAAGTCAGCATGTTAAGTAATTTTCTTGAAATACTGTAACTAACACCCACTTTACTTTCTTCACAGTCCTTTTCATAATCTATTTAATTTTAGTCCTTTTTAATTGTCTGGTACACCTTTAACACCTAAACTCCAAGAGAGAAGTAGCTTCATCTTATTTCCAGTACCTAGCACATAATGGTTTCTGAATGGAACTGATTCCAAGATTGGCCTCATTTAGGAATGGATCTGTTGTTATAATCAGGTTTCCAAAATCTTTAGTATCAATACGGAATCTTTTCCTCCTACATTACACAGGAAGCTAGACTTCTTAAAGCCCAAACATGGATACGTTTGAAGTTTCCTTGACTGATTTAAATTGAATTAAAATAATTATTTTTTATGGGAAAAACTATCAAAATATCTACATTTTTCAGAACACAACCACCTTTTCTTTCTCTACTTTCTTTCCTTCAAAACAAACTTTGCAACATTGGGGTGAGTTAAATAATCAGCAATCTAGCCCCAAATAAAGCTCTCAATGACATGAAACACATTTTTTGCTTCTTTTTAATAAAAATATTATATGCACTACATTAATGTTTTCTTTTTTTTTTTTTTTTTGCAGTACGCAGGCCTCTCACCGCTGTGGCCTCTCCCATTGCAGAGCACAGGCTCCAGACGCGCAGGCTCAGCGGCCATGGCTCACAGGCCCAGCCGCTCCGCGGCACGTGGGATCCTCCCAGACCAGGGCACGAACCCGTGTCCCCCGCATCGGCAGGCGGACTCTCAACCACTGCGCCACCAGGGAAGCCCTAATGTTTTCTTTTAGAAATTATATTAACAACTTAATCCCTAATTCGAGGCATCCATATAATTGATTTACAGAAAGGTTCTTTGGCAAAATATTTAACACAAGATATATATGTGATTCTGAGATTTGGGTTATACATCTTACTTGAAAGACATGAGTAGTTTTAAACTCTGTAGCATAATCACACTTAAGGCCATAGTTACTTTGTTCCCAAATCCTTGCAATTCTATTTGAGGGGAGCTCTAAAAGTCTTGTGTCTTCTTCTGTGTCCACAACTGTAGACGTACACTGATGGCCCTCAATCCTGCTCTCCAAACTTCAAATAAGGGGCCAGAGGCAAGGCTCTGGACTTGGAAAAGTCCTAGAAATGCCCTGCCTCAAAAGCAGTTTCAGAGTTTCACATTATCCTAAGGATTACAGAGCTGAGTAGATATGCCAAAGTCTTCCAAATCCTGCTGGTTGTTTTGAATTATGGCTACACTGGCTGTGTACCCCTTGAGTTTTTATCTCCATATACTTGAATTAAATCCTGTAATTCCTCTTCCATTCTAGCACCTGTGACCTCTTCACAGGGTCTCTCTGCCACAGCTATTTTACCATTTTCTGAAATAAAGTTAACAAGGATCAATTCAGAAGTGTTCTTGTTCTAAAACTTCCTGTATACAATGGTAGCACCCAATAATTAGACATACTTTTGATTTCTAAAAGCAGAAAATAAGAGCATTTTCCTAGAAGTTCCCTCATCTGACACTTCAGTTTTTAATCATAATTATCTGTGAAAAAATATATAAGAAATATCAACTTTGGTTCAAAAACTTTTATGATCTTAGAAATAAGAACTAAGGAATAGTGACATAGGAATTAAAGCTGTGGAAACAAAAATGTTCAATCACAATACAATTACATAGTGAGGTATGAGGTGGGGGTCAAAGTGAGTTCAAACCTGGGATACATACCACTGGACTATAATAGATACTTCATATTAGAAGCAAGGCAAAGGCCTACTCCTTGAGAACAAAATTCTACCAGATACAATGAACAAAGCTTTGGAGGCAGAGACAGAGAGAATTTGAACACTCCACTAGCGAAACTGGCCCATGTACCTTTTGGACAATACAGCTTTCCTCAAGGCAAGCTAGAGCCACCAGGCTTTTTGGTCTAAGGAGTTTTGAGTACATATAAGGAATACCTTGGCATATTAGGAACAAACAACCCAGACATTTAGTTTGGTTCTTAAAGGTTGTTACCCAGATTTGACATCTGATGGAGATTTTGCCTGATGACCAGGGAAGTCAAACTTCCTTGGAAGGATTGCCCAGGCTGGAAGGCCAAGACCAATCCAGGGTCAAATCTTACAAGCAAATAAGGTCTCTGACAACTTAGCTAGGATTTATCAGTCTCTAAGCCTGCAGCGCTGTGAAGCAGGTGAGCAATTCTCTTCAGGGAATCTACTAATCATAAAGTTTCCTTTGGACACTGCCTGTGACATTCTCTCCACTATATAACTCGATAGGGAACACAATCAAACCTCTTCAGTAGCATGACCACTTTCAAGACTCACAAAAACGTAGCCGATTATTACATAAGAATCATATTCACCCAATATATCATAAATGAAAGATGAAATTAAATTGACTCCAAAAACATAATCTAATAAACTCTCCAACAAAAAACAACAATAATAATAGTCAATATATATTGTCTTCTTACTATGTTTCAGGCATAGTTCTAAGCTTTTTACATTCATCATTTCATTTACTCTTACAGTATCCCCCATTTGGTGGTAAGCTGAATTACTAACCCTATTTGCAGATAAAGAAATTGCAGCTTAGAGATATTAAATACTTTCAATTGTCTCTGGCTTGAAAAAAACTAAAATTGCGAAAACAACAACAAAAAAATCTAAGACACAAAGTTAGGACTGAAACACAGGTGTCCAAGACTTATCATCACTACACTATTCTGTATGATAAGCAAGCAATTGAGGAAGAACTGGATCAAACACATTCTGTATGAACTGAGGCAAGTCATTTTACATCTAAACACTGGGGACAATAATATTTGCTGTCGTTTTTCTCATAAATGCCACAAAGAACAAATTTAAGACTGCTGCTGTGAAAGCATCTGGTGAATGAAAGAATATGTAATGTTTTAGATAACCATTATTTTCATCCAATTAACTTTTCAAATAAGTTTATTTGCTCACTGAAACTGAAGCACTTCAAGGACAATCAAAAAGGTCTTACCTAAAACCACAGTCAGCAGTTTCTGGAATGCATCTGTCATAGCCTTCTGAATAGCAAGCTTCTGGGTTACCTTCCTTTTCATAAGGAATGATAATGACCCTAAATCCAAAAAAAAAGAGATGAATTTTAAATGCCTATCTGAATAACTGATTTCTAGGTTATATGTTTAAAACTAAAAATGTATCTGTGATTCTTAGACCATTATCTTAGTGATTAAGGGCAGGCACAACACTGGGGTATGGTTGAATGTCTCTGTTGTAGGTATACCCTGGCATGGCACATTTTTACTGCTCAGATCTATTCTTAAATTTCCTATAATACTCGATGGTAAATGCAAACCAAGAACGTGGCACAAATTTCATACTGCTCACAGATTTCAAATGGACAAGCTGAGTCTACACTGCTACAGACCCTGCTCTCCTGTGTGTAAAGGGCTGGATTCATACAGTGAGATAGATTTGGTGGTAGTGCAGATGATCTGGCCTCTCCTCAACCATCACCCACTCAGGTGGATGTTGGAGCCTCCTCCGCTCCATTCGCTAACAGTCCTGCCTCTGACTTAAAACCCTAAGCCTAAGTGCCATTGATTCTAGGAGAAAACTCAGTACCAATAGGAATCCCCTTTCTAGGGATCTACGTTTACTTTTTCTGCTTAGGCCCCTCTATAGAAGGAAAAGGACTGAACATTTACACAAGAGTTTATTTCAATCTTTTTTTTTTTTCCAACAGCAACAAAAAGTTACTCTAATATTCTTGTGCCCACAGTTAACAAAATCAGATAAGCAGAGCCCCCTGTTAGATTTTAGCCTCGTTTACTTTTTGTCTGGATGTTTGAATCATTATACCTGGACCAAGAGAGTGGCACTGGGAATGGAGAGGAAGGGACATAAAACAGAGATGCTTTAAAGAAATAATCCAAGAGAACTCAGCCCTAACTATTCACAGGAAATGGAGAAGGGCAAATTAGAGTTGATTCCAGACTTTCCAGCCAGTGTGACAAGGAATGGTGATCCATTGCCAAGACACTGAAGTGATGGACACAGGGCAGTTAGCTATCGGGGGTAAGGAGTTTGGTGAGTTGTCCTGGAGAGCAGCTCTCATTTTCCTCCTTTGACCTCCAGGGCTGATGATGAATCTTCTGAGCCTGTGAACACCAACGTGGTCCTGCGGCATGATAGGCTGATCACCTGGGATACACCAGCCATCACCAAAAGCTCCTGTGTGGTGGATGTCACCTACTTCCTCTTTGATAATCAGCAGTGCAACCTGGCCTTTGGTTTCTGGACCTACAATGGCAATCAGGTGGATATATTCAACCCCCTGGACAGCAGAGACCTCTCCGACTTCATCGAAGATGTAGAGCGGGAGGTGCATGGCATGCCTGCTGTGAAGAATGTGATCTCCTATGGCTGCTGCTCTGAGCCTTACCCGGATGTGACGTTCACTCTCCTTCTAAAGAGGCGGTCCTCTTTCTATATCGTCAACCTCCTCATCCCATGTGTCCTCATATCTTTTCTGGCTCCCTTGAGTTTTTGTCTCCCAGCAGGCTCTGGAGAAAAGGTCTCCCTGGGAGTGACCATAGTGTTGGCCATGACTGTATTTCAGCTCATGGTGGCAGAGATCATGCCAGCCTCAGAGAATGTCCCTCTGATAGGTGAGTTCAAGTGTCTTACACTTTGAGTCAGCACTGTGGTAACTGAGGTTGTATCTGTATCTTTAAATTCCTAACAATGAGGTCAACTTCAGACTCAACACAGGCTGTCACATACTTCATTTGGTGTCTTCAGTTGGCATCTTTGAAAACAGATGTGGCTGTTGGAAAAAAAGCTGGTCTTGTTGTCTCCAGGTTTACCCAAAAGAGGAATGAGAGCAATATGCTTTAGAGCAGTGGTTCTCACAGTATGGTCTCTGGACCCACAGCATTAGCATCACTTTTTTATTTTATTTTATTTTATTTTATTTTTGCTTGGGGAACGTTTTATTTTTTATTTTAATTTTTTTTATTGGAGTATAATTGCTTCTGCCCATTTTTGGATTCGGTTGTTTGTTTTTTTCTTATTAATCTGCATGAGCTGCTTATAAAGTTTGGAGATTAATCCTATGTCAGTTGGCTCATTTGCAAATATTTGCTCCCATTCTGAGGGTTGTCTTTTGGTCTTGTTTATGGTTTCCTTTGCTGTGCAAAAGCTTTGAAGTTTCATAAGGTCCCCTTTGTTTATTTTTGTTTTTGTTTCCATTTGTCTAGGAGGTGGGTCAAAAAGGACCTTGTGATTTATGTCATAGAGTATCCTGTCTGTTTTCCTCCAAGAGATTGATAGTTTCTGGCCTTACATTTAGGTCTTTAATCTATTTTGAGCTTATTTTTGTGTATGGTGTTAAGGAGTGATCTAATCTCATACTTTTACAAGTAGCTATCCAGTTTTGCCAGCACCACTTATTGAAGAGGCTGTCCTCTTTCCACTGTACTTTCCTGCCTCATTTATCAAAGATAAGTTGACCATATGTGCGTGGGTTTATCTCTGGTCTTTCTATCCTCTTCCATTGATCTATATTTCTGTTTTTGTGCCAGTACCATACTGTCTTGATTACTATAGCTTTGTAGTATAGTCTGAAGTCAGGGAGCCTGATTACTCCAGCTCCATTTCTCGTTCTTAAGATTGCTTTGGCTATTCGGGGTCTTTTTTGTTTCCATACAAATTGTGAAATTTTTGGCTCTAGTTCTGTGAAAAATGCCAGTGGTAGTTTCATAGGGATTACATTGAATCTGTAGATTGCTTTGGGTAGTAGAGTCATTTTCACAATGTTGATTCTTCCAATCCAAGAACATGATATATCTTTCCATCTATTTGTATCATCTTTAATTTCTTTCATCAGTGTCATAATTTTCTGCATACAGATCTTTTGTCTCCTTAGGTAGGTTTATTCCTAGATATTTTATTCTTTTTGTTACAATGGTAAAAGGGAGTGTTTTCTTGATTTCATTTTCAGATTTTTCATCATTAGTGTATAGGAATGCAAGAGATTTCTGTGCATTAATTTTGTAACCTGATACTATAACAAATTCATTGATTAGCTCTAGTAGTTTTCTGGTAGTATCTTTAGGATTCTCTATGTATAGTATCATGTCATCTGCAAATACTGACATCTTTACTTCTTTTCTGATTAGGATTCCTTTGTTTCCATTTCTTCTCTGATTGCTGTGGCTAAAACTTCCAAAACTATGTTGAATAAGAGTGGTGAGAGTGGGCAACGTTGTCTTTTTCCTGATCTTAGTGGAAATGCTTTCAGTTTTTCACCATTGAGGATTATGTTGGCTGTGAGTTTGTCATATATGACCTTTATTATGTTGAGGAAAGTTCCCTCTATGCCTACTTTCTGCAGGGTTTTTACCATAAATGGGTGTTGAATTTTGTCAAAAGCTTTCTCTGCATCTATTGAGATGATCATATGGTTTTTCGCCTTCAAATTGTTAATATGGTGTATCACGTTGGTTGATTTGCGTATATTAAAGAACCCTTGCATTCCTGGAAAAAACCCAACTTGACCATGGTGTATGATCCTTTTAATGTGCTGTTGGATTCTGTTTGCTAGTATTTTGTTGAGGATTTTTGCATCTATGTTCATCAGTGATATTGGCCTGTAGTTTTCTTTCTTTGTGACATCCTTGTCTGGTTTTGGTATCAGGGTGATGGTGGCCTCGTAGAATGAATTTGGGAGTGTTCCTCCCTCTGCTATATTTTGGAAGTGTTTGAGAAGGATAGGTCTTAACTCTTCTCTAAATGTTTGATAGAATTTGGCTGTGAATCCATCTGGTCCTGGGCTTTTATTTGTTGGAAGATTTTTAAACACAGTTTCAATTTCAGTGCTTGTGATTGGTCTGTTCATATTTTCTATTTTTTCCTGATGCAGTCTTGGCAGGCTGTGCCTTTCTAAGAACTTGTCCATTTCTTCCAGGTTGTCCATTTTATTGGCATAGAGTGGCTCGTAGTAATCTCTCATGATCTTTTGTATTTCTGCAGTGTCAGTGTTACTTCTCCTTTTTCATTTCTAATTCTATTGATTTGAGTCTTCTCCCTTTTTTTCTTGATGACTCTGGCTAATGGTTTATCAATTTTGTTTATCTTCTCAAAGAACCAGCTTTTAGTTTTATTGATCTTGGCTATTGTTTCCTTCATTTCTTTTTCATTTATTTCTGATCTGATTTTTATGATTTCTTTCCTTCTGCTAACTTTGGGGTTTTTTTTTGTTCTTCTTTCTCTAATTGCTTGATGTGCAAGGTTAGGTTGTTTATTTGAGATGTTTCCTGCTTCTTAAGGTGGGCTTGTATTGCTATAAACTTCCCTCTTAGAACTGCCTTTGCTGCATCCCATAGGTTTTGGGTCGTTTTGTCTCCATTGTCGTTTTTTTCTAGGTATTTTTTTATTTCCTTTTTGATTTCTTCAGTGATCACTTCGTTATTAAGTAGTGTATTGTTTAGCCTCCATGTGTTTGTATCTTTTACAGATCTTTTCCCGTAATTGATATCTAGTCTCATGGTGTTGTGGTCGGAAAAGATACCTGATACAATTTCAATTTTCTTAAATTTACCAAGGCTTGATTTGTGACCCAAGTTATGATCTATCCTGGAGAATGTTCCATGAGCACTTGAGAAAAATGTGTATTCTGTTGTTTTTGGATGGAGTGTCCTATAAATATCAATTAAGTCCATCTTGTTTAATGTACCATTTAAAGCTTGTGTTTCCTTATTTATTTTCATTTTGGGTGATCTGTCCATTGGTGAAAGTGAAGTGTTAATGTCACCTACTATGAATGTGTTACTGTCGATTTCCCTTTTTATGACTCTTAGTATTTGCCTTATGTATTGAGGTACTCCTATGTTGGGTGCATAAATATTTACAATTGTTATATCTTCTTCTTGGATCGATCCCTTGATCATTATGTAGCTTCCTTCTTTGTCTCTTCTAATAGTCTTTATTTTAAAGTCTATTTTGTCTGATATGAGAATTGCTACTCCAGCTTTCTTTTGGTTTCCATTTGCATGAAATACCTTTTTCCATCCCCTTACTTTCAGTCTGTATGTGTCTCTAGGTCTGAAGTGGGTCTCTTTTAGACAGCAAATATATGCGTCTTGTCTTTGTATCCATTCAGCCAATCTGTGTCTTTTGGTGGGAGCATTTAGTCCATTTACATTTAAGGTAATTATCAATATGTATGTTCCTATTCCCATTTTCTTAATTGCTTTGGGTTCGTTACTGTAGGTCTTTTCCTTCTCTTGTGTTTTTGTCTAGAGAAGTTCCTTTAGCAGTTGTTGTAGAGCTGGTTTGGTGGTGCTGAACTCTCTCAACTTTTGCTTGTCTGTAAAGCTTTTAATTTCTCCATCAAATCTGAGTGAGATCCTTGCTGGGTAGAGTAATCTTGGTTGCAGGTTTTTCTCCTTCATCACTTTCAGTATGTCCTGCCACTCCCTTCTGGCTTGCAGAGTTTCTGCTGAGAGATCAGCTGTTAACCTTATGGGGATCCCCCTGTGTGTTATTTGTTGTTTTTCCCTTGCCGTGTTTAATATGTTTTCTTTGTATTTAATTTTTGACAGTTTGATTAATATGTGTCTTGGCATATTTCACCTTGGATTTATCCTGTATGGGACTCTGTGCTTCCTGGACTTGATTAACTATTTCCTTTCCCATATTAGGGAATTTTTCAACTATAATCTCTTCAAATATTTTGTCAGTCCCTTTCTTTTTCTCTTCTTCTTCTGGAAACCCTATAATTCAAATGTTGGTACATTTACTGTTGTCTCATAGGTCTCTGAGACTGTCCTCAGTTCTTTTCATTCCTTTTTCTTTATTCTGCTCTGCAGTAGTTATTTCCACTATTTTATCTTACAGGTCACTTATCCGTTCTTCTGTCTCAGTTATTCTGCTATTGATCCCATCTAGAGTATTTTTCATTTCATTTATTGTGTTACTCATCATGGTTTGTTTCATCTTTAGTTCTTCTATGTTCTTGTTAAATGTTTCTTGCATTTTTTCTATTCTATTTCTAAGATTTTGGATCTTTACTATCATTATTCTGAATTATTTTTCAGAATAGGCTGCCTATTTCCTCTTCATTTGTTAGGTCTGGTGGTTTTTTATCTTGCTCCTTCATCTACTCTGTGTTTTTCTGTCTTCTCATTTTGCTTATCTTACTGTGTTTGGGATTTCCTTTTGCAGGCTGCACGTTCATAGTTCCTGTTATTTTTGGTGTCTGTCCCCAGTGACTAATGTTGGTTTTGTGGGTTGTGTAGGCTTCCTGGTGGAGGGGACCAGTGCCTGTGTTCTGGTGGATGAGGCTGCATCTTGTCTTTCTGGTGGGCAGGTCCACGTCTTGTGGTGTGTTTTGGGGTGTGTGTTGACTTATTATGATTTTAGACAGCCTCTCTGCTAATGGGTGGTGTTGTGTTCCTGTCTTGCTAGTTGTTTGGCATAGGATGTCCAGCACTGTAACTTGCTGGTCGTTGAGTGAAGCTGGGTGTTCATTTTGAGACAGAGATCTCTGGGAGATTTTCACCATTTGATATTATGTGCAGCTGGAAGGTCTCTTGTTGACCAGTGTCCTGAAGTTGGCTCTCCCACCTCAGAGGCATAGCACTAACTCCTAGCTGTAACACCAAGAGACTTTCATCCGTGTGGCTCTGAAGA